GTTACTGCTAATGAAATGCCAAGCCAGTGAGGAGCTGAAGCTCCCACCCTCTTTAATTTAGGGGAACCATTAACAGTGCTCTCCATCATCACAATTACTGGGGCCTACTTCCTTCTCTCCCTGTGGTGAAACTTAGAGAGGAACTTGTGCAGCTAACTGCGTATTAGATGGTGTTAAAATTTTTCAGTAGGAAGGAAGAAAGGAAAAAATCCCTTGCATCTTGGCCATCTGGAACTGACGGTGCAGGGATTTATGGGTCTTTCGATTCTCCCCTTTCCTTGTTTTTTGTTTGTAAAACGTTCTTGGGGCAAGAAGGGCCTAACATAAACTGAGCTTTGGTAAAGCTATGCAAAAACGAGCTAAAAATGACAGCTGTGGAGATGGTGTGACGTGGCTGGTTTTGACTGACACCTTCTTTCTTGTTTGGCTATGAATAAGCACCTAAGAGTCTGATGGCACCCAGCTGAGGATCAGGGGAATTAGGACCGGTCCATGGGCTACCAGTGTGCCAGGCTCCTGCCACTATTACTCCCCTTCTACAGAGGAGGAAACCGAGGCACAAGGAGGGTAAGTAACTGGCCAGTTACCCAGCTAGAATATGGCCCAGTTGAAACTCAAGGCCCGGCAGCCTGGCTCCAGGGCCTGTTCCCCCATCTGCTATACCCAGGGGATGCCAGGGGTCCTTCCGCCCAGAAGCCTCTCCGTTGGGGTTCGTAAATCCTGCACCTAGAAGGAGGAGGATGGCACCTGCATCTCTGGATCTTGGAGGCTTCCCCAGCCCTATCGAGTTTTGATTGTAATCAAATTAACAGCATAAACAAGATTTATTAGGCCCTTAATTACCTTTGCAACACTGATTTGCATAAGGACAATGTGCTAATCACAAATGGCTTTTTAAACCACTCATTAAAAATCTGGAAGAAGGAGGCAGAAAGACTTCATTGGCTTCAAGTCCAGGTCACTGCAGGGACTTGGAAGGTGTCCTACTTGCCCAGGCGCTGGTCCTGGACCTTGCCAGGCCTCTCTGGCCGCCTTCTCTTGTATAGTATCCTGGACATCTGTGAATATAGACGGCAGCCCCACTGCAGCCAGTGATGAGGACAAAACGGAGTGAGCCTATAGACGTCCACAGACTGAGGATAATTAGTATTCCTCGTCACCACCCTTACCCTCAGAAATGGCTGCGGGACTACGGCAGCCTGACCCTTTCCTGACATCCTGCTCATGCGGCACCATGTCCCCCACCAGCAGGGAACCACGAGGCCAAGAGGTCAAGGGTCTTGCTGGGAGGCATAGCATTTGTGTGGAAGAACGCAGGCCCTGACTCATAGCCTCATGCCGCAGTACCAAAGCTCTGCAGCCTGCAGCAGACATGATTGTGACACCCAAGCTCTCCAAATATGACAGTCACCAGGGACCCTCTAGGCATCTGCCGTCCCTCGAGGCAGGGCGGGACTGCAAGTACCCAGGCTCCAGGCTCCCTCATCCTCTCCCATTTGTTTGTCCTCAGAGCCTTCAGACAAGGACCCAGAGCCTTCAAACAGCCAGATACCTGCGGGCATTGAATCTCAACCGTCCCAGTGCACCCAAGCTCACCTCCAGTTCAATGTCTCCTTAATGAAAAGGCAAAAGGAGCTTCCTGCCTCCAAGTCATTCAATAAAATTATGGAGGATGACGGACTAAAACAGTTTGCTAATTGTGAAAGCGCTCAGTTTTCTTTTCCATTTTCTTTCCTTCTTGTTTGGGAAATTGCATTGAGGACTTACGAGGTGATGGACCCCATTGCAGTTTCCCTGGAAATGAGGGATTTATCCTTTGTGAAATTCATAGAGGTTGCAAGGAGAGACTGTGTAACTTTCAATTGCCCAACCACAACGTGTCCTCGGAATAGCCTGGGGCTTGGAGAAGGAAGACAGGCTATACAATGGGAAACAGGTGAGCTGTGGATCAGAACCGATGACCCTCTTCCAAAAAGACCCTCCAAATCAGGTTAACAACTAGATACCACCTCGTTGATCCTGAAGGACTAGCTAAACAGCAGAGCCCTGTGCGCTGTTTAATGTCTTCCTCTGCCCTTTACTGGCTGTGTGTTCTGGGGCAAGTCACTTTCCCACTCTGGGCCCAGATTTCCTTCCAGTTCTGCCATTCAAAGTGTAGGATATTGTTTAGCAGGCCCCTCACCTCCCTGTGCTCCCACGAGGAAGCCACGCTCCACGGAACTGACTGCGTAGCCACCAGTACTCAATGAGTCTTCCAGCCCACATGGCTTTCCTTTCTCCGACAGACCACTTAAGGCCCAAAGAGTAAGTGCCAGCCTGGTCTTCAAGCTCTTAGACCACTGGCTTTGCAATCTTGGTCCTTCTGTTAGACTTACAAAGAGCTGAGGCCATGATGGTGGAGGTAGCAGGGCACTGGGTGCTGGCCAGTGGCACTTTGGCCCATAACATTTCTTGGGAAAGCCAGCTTGAATTCATAATATGCACCTACCCCTCCCAGCCCAAGTCCTTCAAGGTCAAGACTCCCATCCTCTGGGCAGCCTCCTGACAGTCAGCCCTGTCCATCTTCCTCCATCTGAACCCCAAAGCCCAGTCTGCCTATCAATGAACCCTAGCCCTGCCCTGCTCTGCCAGATTCCAATGTAGCCCCAATGAGTCTTATTTCCCCAACTAGCTTGAGGCCGCTCCTCGAGCACAGAAATACCTCATCTCTGTTTAACCCTGGGACTGAACAACCTCATGCCTTAGCTCAACTCAGCTGGTAAAGGGTTGGCCGAGATCCAGATTTGTGGCACTCTGTGACCTAAACAATCACAGTCAAGCAGGTCTGAGGCTGGTCCCTAGTGGGGAGCTGCAGGATTCTGGCCCTCCATCAGCAACAACTTTACTAAAATAACTTGGAGGAGAGAAGCTTGGGAAGGTCGTGACACGTGGGACGATGAGAGGAGGATAATTCTGGAGGGATGGACAGCTGGGCTAGAATTAATAAGGTAAAGCTTCCCGAGGGCAACTGCAAGATATGCGGCTTAAGTGAAATGCGGCTGCAGTCTGTACTCAGGGGCTTGGTTCAGACGAAGACAAACTGTGACTTTTAGCAAAGGGTACACAGAGGGAGGTGGAGGCAGGTTTTGTCTCTCTAGAGCAGCGGTCCTTAACCAAAGGTAAGACTCCCCTCAAATGTGGGAGGGTTCTTTTGTTGTGATAATGCTTAGGGGAAGAGGGCAGTCATCAGAAGAATGGAGTGGGATTAACCAAGGGTGGGCATTAAAAAAAAAAAAAAAAAAGAACAGAGCAGGTACGGACCAAGATGCTAAATGCCCTGCAAAGTCCTGCATGCTGAAAAATTACCCTGTGTCAGACAGGTGCAGTGGTGCATGCCTGTAATCACAGCACGTTGGGAGGCCAAGGTGGTAGGAATATTTGAGCCCAGGAGTTTGAAACCAGCCTGGGCAACATAGCAAGACCCTAGCTCCACAAAACTAAAAAGAAATAGCCAGGTGTAGTGGCGCGTGGCTATGCTTCCAGCTACTCAGGATACTGAGGTGGGAAGATTGCTTGAGCCAAGGAGGTCGAGGCTATAGTGAGCTATGATACTGCCACTGCATTCCAGCCTGTCCAACAGGGTGAGACCCTGTCTTTTAAAAACAATAATAGGCTGGCATGGTAGCTCATGCCTATAATCCCAGCACTTTGGGAGGCTGAGGCAGGCGGACTGCTTGAGCTTAGGAGTTTGAGACCAGCCTGGGCAATGCTGTCTCTACTAAACATACAAAAAATTAGCCATGGGTGGTGGTGAATGGCTGGGGTCCCAGCTACTTGGAAGGCTGAGGTGGGAGGATCACTTGAGCCTGGGGGCGGAGGCTGCAGTGAGCCGGGATTGCGTGGCTGCACTATAGCCTGGGTGACAGAACCACATCTTGTCTACAAAAAAAAAAATAATAATAAAAGAAAAATTACCCTGTGTAAATGCACTAAGGAACACTGCTACAGAAGAGAAGCTTGGAGCTGCTCAGCAGCCAGACCCAGGGTCTGAGGAGGCAGTGCCCTTGGGTGGTGGCGGGCTTGCTATGGTACAAAGGGCTTATGACCAAGGCAACCACATGTCAGGGGCAATCAGGCCCAGGGAGGGCACTGGACATGATGAGCGCTAAGGTCCTTTCCAGCTCAAAAAGTCAACAAGCCTCTAATTCGATTTATAAAGCGTGGCTGACACCCAAGCTCCCAGCAGCGCCTCGATGGTGCGACCCAGGTCTGCCTGCAGTGTGCTCTGGGCTGCAGGTCCCTCAGTCAGGCTGGATAATGAGAGCCGAGCTCTGACTGCAAATGCCCCTCCTGATCATTAGCGGGGACACACACAGGGGAGAGGAGACAGCATGACAGGCCCTGTTGTTGCAGGGTCAGCCTGCAGAGCGCTCAGAGAGCATACCCAGCTCAGCAAGGGACTCGAAAGATAATTAACTGGGGGAATCGCCAGTCCTAGTCACGTCTCCTTCTGAGGCCAGCACAGGTAGACTGGACAATCCCTTGGTGCTGTCAGCCTCCAGCAAACCCATGCCTGCCTGTGACCCTGGGCTTCTGGTGGACCCAGCCCAGTCTTGGCTTCAGGGTGGCTGGCCTGGGCTGGCTCTGTCCCCATCTTGGCTGGAATCACCAGCCCCGTGGCCTTCCTGAGACCCCTGCCAGCCCCTGGTTTCTCTGGAGTTGCCCAATACCCTGGTCAAGAAAGAGGGAAGGTGCTGAGCTCAGAATTTCTAACCTTCTGCCGGAAGCCTAGAACCGGAAGAAAAACAGCCTCCACCAAAGTGACAAACTCAGTGCTCTCAACGTGTTTGAGAGGGAGAAACAGGGCTCACCCATGAAGATGTGGAAAAACAACTGCACCTTAGAAAATGCAACATTTTCAAGGCTGCACAGAGGTCCCCACCCTAGGGACACGTCCAAGGAGATCTGAGACCAGAGGAGTGTCTGCTCAGCGCCTACCTCCATGGCACCCACCCACTTACCTGTGTGACAGAGTGGGTTTCATGGAGCTCATGGAGCTGAGGGGGGGCTGCATGGGGAGTTTCCCAGGGGGATCACTCTGGCGGCTCTTCTGATGTCGGAGCAGCAGCAGGCGGCCAAGCTCTTCGCACCAGGAGGACAACAGGGCTGCAGGAAGGACAGGATGGTCAGTGGGTGCTTGTTCATCACGCCCTGCCACACCGAGACCCCTCCCCCACCCTCCCCAGACTGGGTGCTATCCATGCTGGTTTTGCTCCTAGATTCGTGTGACACCAGAAGACTTAGCTTCTTGGGAGGCCTCAGTGTTCTCAACTGTAAAATGGGACTGACACCCTTGAAGGAGAATACAAAAGCTTCTGTCGTGAAGAGAAGGTCAGAATGGCCCGCGTGCGGGAAGTAGTGGTCCGAGGCAGCAAAGACGGGGAGAGTCAGAATGATGGGAAGGATGGCAGAGATGGTGCCAAGAGGAAACTGGAGGAGTGAGGGGGCCTGACATGGACCTTGAGACAGCGCAAGCTTAGCAGCTGCCTGCCACTCCAGATCCCTCAGGGAAGCCCACCCCCTCACAATTTGATCAGAGGCAAAGTGTGGCTTCTCCCCATGTGTGGGCTCAAAAATCACAAGGTTTGAACAAAATCTTGGAACCTGCTGATAACCTAGGAGTGTCTGCAGAGCTGTCCCTGAAACTCCTGCCCAGAAACTGGCCCCCTAGGACACCCCTTCTGGTCACACCCACGGTTGGTCCCTGCTCTGCCGGACACAAACGCCTAGGAAGACAAAGGATGTCCAGAGCAGAGGGTAGCCGGGGTGGTGGGGGGCCAAGCAGGAGGCAGCCAGGGGTGCCCAAGGCAGGAGAATGGAGCAGCCATCCACATCCGGGATGAGAGAGCCCCACATGAACTGGGGACTGGGGAAAACTGCCATTTTCTTTCACTGTTCACTGTCCCCATGGGACCACAGGAGCTAAAAGCGCCCCCTAGGCCAGCGTGTCTCAGCCTGGGCTGTCCAGCGTCTCTCAGCTGGCCTGTCCTCCTGAAGTACAAGACGAAGCTGAGGGCTGGGGGAACTGGCTGCGCTCAGTCACCATCTTGCTGTGGTGTGGACTCCAGGAGCCCACAGACTCTGGGCTTCAGTTTGCTTAGAGGTAAAAAGGAGTAATGCCTCGTGCCCTGCCTTCCTCCCAGGCTGCAGGGAGGGACAGATGGGGGTCTGCTGGGTCTGTGGAACTGCTGGACAAAGGGTGGCCACACCTCAGCTGATGCCCTACTCCTGCTGGGAGTGACCTGAGCGTTACGGAAGTAGTCGATGGGCAAGAGTGACCAGGCATCTTTTGAATCACAACTGCTCAGCCACTCGGCTGGGTGCAAAGCCGACTCCACATTTCAAGGGTCTCCCATCTGGACGCTGCACAATGTGCTTCTGCATCCTTTTTTTTCTCGACCATCTAGGACATCATTAGCTATTATTATCCTCATTCTACACACGAGTAGACGGGGGCCCAGTCAGGCAAAGCTACTCACAGTAACCACAGCCAGAGTCGGCAGGGACAGAGACAGTGCTCCTGCCCCTAGCCCCACGCCCTGGTGGTAAAGCCTGAGACCAGACCAGAAGGTGGGGAGGAGGTGAAAGCCTTCAGAAGGCAAAATCCTAGGTGTTCACAGCCCCCCAGCCCCTCAGACTCAAGGAACCCCTCAGGCCTCTTCTACGTCACCATGTTCGGCAGGCACTGGTGGAAGACGCCCATATGCACAATGACTGGGAATGGCTGGGCAGGCTGCCATCCCAAGCCGCCCAGATCCTGGACAGGGTTCCCGTCAGCCCAAAGCCCTGAAAAGTCACCAGGGCCGCTTGCTCCATCTGCTCGGCTTGTGTGGTACACAAAGATGCCCAACCAAGAAGGCAAGCAGGGGTCGTGGTCCCCAAGAGGGCCCCTGTTTCTCCCTCCAGGAGGGGGCCTGGTGAATGAGCTAAGTCTTAAAAGATGTATCCTGCCCCCCTCTGTGGGGTCACCTATGCCACCACCCTCAAAGGAGGGCAGTATGAGAGAAGAGACACTCTCCCCAGCATGTGTGTCTGCCCAGAAACCAACAAACACCCCTCTGTGGGTGTCCAGCACACATCTGCTGCAGCTGGAGAGGCAGCCTATTCAGGGAGGCCAGGACAGACAAAAACGAGCCTCCAGCCCACTCCATCCTTCTCCCAGGCCCCTAGGTACCGCCTCTTGTGCGGGGACACTGGGCATCTGGAAACTCATTTGCACGCCAAGCACGAGGCCCGCTGGATCGCAGCGAAGGAGGGATCGCTCCACTGCCAGCACAAAGGACGGCCACAGATGGTGCCGCCTGCTGCCCGCCCCACCCCTCCTAGCCCTCGCTCCTCCTGGGGGCTGGACTGCCATGCAGGGGGCGGAGGCACCACGGGGAAATCAGGGCTTTCCTCCAATGTCATGGGCCACCCCCTGCTCAGCCAAGGACAGCCCTTGTCCTCCTGCCCCTAGTGGAGTGGTTCCCGTAAAGGGAATAAAGGCAGGCTGGCTGTGTGACAGGGCCTTGCTGTACACTCTGGCATGCTGCAAACAGGCGTGATATGTGGATCAGCCAGCCACAAAGGCCACTTTCCTACAACCAAGAGGTGGTGGGGGGATGGGGAGTCACTACCCCTCACCCCTGAGGTGGGTGAGCACAGAGGCCACGCTGGCAGCCCCACGCAGGGCGGTGGATGTTGTGCGTGTTCTCCTTATGGTGCAAACCAACACAAGTTGTTCCGAGGCAAACGTGGGTTAATGACAACGCCTGGAAATTCGCAGCCAAAAAGGGAGTCTGGGCACTATCAAGAGAACCAGGAGGGCTGACGGGGACAGACAGAGGCAGGCAGGGGATTACGCAAGGACAGACAGAGTGACACCAGCTGGGCGGGTGTCTGAGTGTGCCTGGATTTTGGCCGTCACTCACAGGTCTGGACTGGGAAGCCTGTCTGCTCTAATTAGGCGGGGCTGGCCTGCATGCCTCTTTGACCTGCATGCCTTTGGTCTGTGCACTTGCTAGGATGGCGAAAACCGTCCCAGGGTGAGTGGGAGAGACGGGAGGACCTGGTGTGGTGTGCGCAGAGCATACCAGGCAATGGGAGGGCAGTTTCAGTCCTGACCTGAGTCCCTCTCTGCTGCAGGCAGGGTTGAGTACCTTCTACTGCCTGAGCAACCAACATGGCCAGTCTGTCCCTTTGTCCTGTGGGCTCCACATACCAGTGGTAAGAGAGCTGGCCCCAAAAGCCCCTTTTCATACAGAGGACCCCAGTTTTCAAATTAAAATGGCAGCTAGGACCCAATGTCCCTTTCCCCCTTCATAAAATGCAGCTTGCTTGGGCCCAGGACAGCCTTGGCCAGTATATGTGACTACCTCTCTCCCACAGATGGGTGACGACTGGCCTCCTGCCTGGTGCTCCCACGGCGGGAGGCCCATGTACACATCACGTGCACAGCTGTCAATGAATGCCATTAGACCCACGGCCACCCTCCAAGGGGCTAAGCAATTGGCAGTGAGATACTCCAAAGCCTGCCAAGGGGCGTGGAGAGGAATTTTAGCTCCACCGTGCAAACTTTCTGGGCCGCTTCCAATCTGGGGTGTCAACATGGAGAGGACTTCTGCCTGTCAGAAACCAAGAAGCAGGGGCTGGGCATGATGGCTCACACCTGTAATCACAGCACTTTGGGAGGCTGAGGCGGGCAGATCACTCGAGGTCAGGAGTTCGAGACTAACCTGGCCAATATAATGAAACACTGTCTCTACTAAAAATACAAAAATTAGCCAGGCATGGTAGCCAGCGCCTCTAATCTCAGCTACTCGGGAGGCTGAGCACAAGAATTGCTTGAACTCAGGAGGTGGAGGCTGCAGTGATCTGAGATCGTGTCACTGCCCTCCAGCCTGGGCAACAGAGCAAGACTCCATTCCCCACCAAAAAAGAAAGAAAGAAAGAAAAAAGAAACCAAGAAGCAGGAGGGGCTGTTGGGAGCAGAGGTTCAGCCATAGAAAGGGGGTTGGGGTCAGGAGGGGGCCTGCGGAGCTGGCCACAGAGGCCCATGGGACCACCCACTGTCAGTCATGCTGACAGCATGGCTATGGCAGTGCCTATTGCCCCCTCTCCTCCAGCAAGATCTCTGATGGGTAACAGCCTTTCTTAGGGAAGGAGAAATAGAGGCACAACCGGCTGCAAATGTACTGCTTCTGACCCCTAAACAAATCTCCTCTCCCCCATCACCCAAGGCAGCAGAGTTTTAACAAGCAGGTGCTGAGCTGGGTGCAGGCACCCCAGAAACTGGGCTCTCAGGCTCCTCACCAAGCCCCATCCCCTGTCGTCCTCTCCAGCCTGTGCAGGGGCCAGTGCCGAAGACCTTGGGGCCTTCCAGCTCATCTCATGGTGACCACAGCTGGGGTTGGGATAGCAGCAGGGAATCCCCCCAGCTGCCAATGCTGAGCCTTAATCCAGAACTCCAAGCACTCCTCAAACGTCTCAGCATAAAACGTATAAGCATGCACCACCCAAGCTGTCTAAAGTGAACCCACTGGGCTTCCCTCACCTCTCCAAACTGCATCCTTGTGACCAGACTCCCTCACCTCGATCCATTCTCACCTTCAGTACCAAAGTGTTCTATCACTCACCCAACGTTCATTCAACACTAGCTGCTGAGCACCTACTGTGTGCTGGCGGTACTGCGGTGAACAGGCAAGGTTAGCACCCCTGCTGAAACCGCACATGGCCTCCACTGCTGAGTCCGAACCACTTAAGATGACGTGCAAAGCTCTGCAGGCTGTAAGTCTTGGCACCAATCGCTCCTGACCTCAGCAGGCAGCTACCGCCCTGTGGTTCAGGGCAAGGGACTCTGAAAGTCTGGATTCAAAAACTCATTCCCTTCATAGCTATGTGACCTTCGGCAAATGACACAACCTCTCTGGGCTTCAGTTTATCTACCAAATGTTAATGCTTACTCTTTAGGGTTATTGTGCTTTTTTTGTTTGTTTTGTTTTGTTTTGAGACAGTCTTGTTCTGTCACCCAGGCTAGAGTACAGTGGTGCAATCTTGGCTCACTGCAACATCTGCCTCCCGGATTCAAGAGATTCTTATGCCTCAGCATCCTGAGTAGCTGGGACTAC